CACACACACACACACACACAGGCAGACCTTGTCACCACTGCCCAGTATTTGAGAGGTGGGTTTAGAGTGGAAATTGAATTTTAACAATCGGCTGAGCCGAGCTACCATGCCCGAGCCCTGGGGGGAACCTATGCACAAATACCCATAGAATTACTGAGCCTGGCACTGCAGCCTCTGAGGGAGTACACTGTCCTTCCAACCCCAGCCGCCACAAACTTTATGACTGTGGAAAAGTTACTTCACCTGCTGAGCCTGTTTATTCACCGTTAAAATAACTAAAAGACCTACGGACAACATCAGCTCTAAAATGTACTAAAATTCAAAACGGGAGAAAAGAAAAAGGAAAGAAGAACTAGGAGAACCCAAATACTACTGCATGTAAGAAAAATGAGAAAGTACTCAGGTTTGACTAATATCAGGGAAAAGCAACAGAAGAAACCTGTGGTCACCACTCCAACAAGCCTGTGAATGTGCTTACATGTGGACCAACTTGGTCTACACACTGGAGAAGTAACTACCACGTGGAGGGTACCTTGTGCACAATGCCGGCACATTCCAGGCACTCGGGAAATATCTGCTGAGTGGTCCCCAAGTCACAAATGGAAGCATCAACTGTCCATGTGGGCCATTTTCTTCCTGCCACATGTTGACCCAGTTCTCTGATCTATGCTGAGTTCTGGAGTCCTTACTTGGTCCTCACCTGCTGTTATGTGGAACCCAGACCTCCCAGTGAAAGACTTACAGGCCTGCGTGGACCCTGCAAACAGAGCTGAAGGGGGAGGGGTCACAGCAAGGGAACCCCAAGGGTGTCTGGGACATCCCCAGAGTGATGCTCCCAAGCACTGGACCACACTTCCAATGCACGGCAATCGATATAATGGATCTCTTTCAGTCCGTGTATCAGACCTGTACCTGCAGTGAGGCTCAGTATCAAGTAAACACCTATTTTTAGTTAATTTCCAGAGTGACAGAAGCAGCAACATTTTACACACCTTCCAGTAACTCCTGACCATAAGCAGGCTTAGAGTGAGAACAGTGGGAGCAGTGTACCGAGGCGCCATGGCCAGCCTTTTCCATTACCTTCACCTCCTGCTCCTCAGAGGCGCCCACTTTCGACCTGGGAGGTTCAAACATGCTGTTTGGGGTGTTTCAACAACATAGCCTATTCACAGGGTGTGCACTGTCGTCCTAACTTCTCAGAGCAGACAACTAGGATTTTACGTAATTCCCACTGCATTTCCTACAAAGTGCTGATTTTTAAACTCCCCTCTGCTGTTTTTTCTTTGGCCCTCTGAGGGTTGGGTCACTGGGAAGTGACTAGGCTTTGAGCAGTCCCCGCCCCAGGTTGTGACACAGGAGGTCTGGGTGGGGCCCAGCAATGTACATTCTCATGGCTTTCAGGTGATGCCAAGGCTGCCGCCTAGTGGCCTTCGAGGAACACAGCCCTGCTCTCACTCTTCTGTCAGAGCCCTGTGTGTTCAGTGGTGGTGATGCTGCCAAAGCCAGAGGGCCACCATGTGGACTGGGCAAACAGCACAAATGCGTGCACCAGCCAGTGCTCAAGAAAGGAGATCCTATCTCCCACCCTGAGTGACAATCTTAGGGAGCATATGGATGTGGACTTGCTGGCCTAAAGCATCCCCTTTCTTAGGAAATTTACTCTCAACCACACAACTTCAGGAGCTGGATTCCTCCCAGGCAATACCCACCTGAATTTCATGTCTCCCATGGGGTAAACTTTGACCCGTATTTCCCAAATCTTTAGATGATTATGAACACTTTGCTTTCCACACTTTTCCCTCTACCCACCCCCCCCGCCCCCTCCCGTGATCTGCACTCACCACAACTGTGTGTGTCGAGGGAGGGATGCGAATGAATGAATGCATGCCTGGAAGGAGAACTCTACATAAAAAAGTAAAACGTGCTCATCTCTAGATGGAATTCTGGGTGACTATGCTTCTCCATCTTGCCTTCCCTGTGTGTTCTCACTTTCCACCCTACGCTGGCCCAGTGAACAATGCCACACCTTGACCACACAGGCAAAGGAGCAGATGGAACACAGGTCATGTAATACCTCTGGTTGCTCCACTTGCCACAAACAACTCCCACTCCCATCCCATCCCATCTCATCTCGCTGTTGTTCTCTACTCCCACCTTAGATCCCTCTCCACCTGGACCTCAGACTCTCCCAAGCCCACTTTCCTCCTAGTCCTCCCTTCCCCCACCTTTTACCACTTGTGATCCTCCCTGTTCTCCTTCTGGGGCAGCACCACAGCAACTGAGCTGTAAACTCAAACCTCCAGGACCGGGTCAGGGGTCTCTCCCAGGCACAGACTACACAGTCACATCTGTCTTTCCCTTCAGGAGATGAGAAAGGTCTTACTTGCTCTTCTGCTTTTCTGTGGGTGTGACGTGTGCAGTTCTGCCCAACTCTGCACTTTCTTGTCAACTCCCTACATACATGTATGTAATCTGCCAAATTCACACAGTAACGAGTCTGGTTTCTTTCTTTTCATGTTGATGTTGGTAGGTTTGCGAGGGCAGGACACTGACTTCTCTAATATGCTGAGACCATGACCTGTCACCCTCACCACGTTCCCACTCAGACGTCCTGTTTTACGCCTACGGTGTACGCAGGCTCAAATCCACACCCTTGATCCCCACACCCTCATTTCAGGCCTTCCTAATCCTCCACCACCCCCTTCAGGTCCCCACCATCACCCCAGGCACCCACCATGATCTCCAGGTCCCCACCATCCGCCTAGGCCCTCTCCAGGTCCCCAATCTTCTCCTTAGCCGCCCACCATCCCCCAGTAGCCCACCTTTGGCCCTTCTGACCCTTTCTCCCACCTTAGGTCCCTCTCCACCTGAACCTTGGACTCTCCCAAACTCATTTTCCTCCTAGTCCTCCCCTCCCCCACCTTTCACCATTTCTGGTCCTTCCTGCGCACAACCCACCACCTACCCCAGGTCCTGGGGCAATGGAATGGAGGGGTCCTCACTGGGGCGCAGGCCCAGCCGCTGACTAGGGACGACGCTTTCCAGGGTCTTGAGGAGCGAAGACGCCAAGACTCGGGGCGGACGCTGTTCGACAATCCCAGACGTTGTGTGGGCCCAGAATCAGGTCGGATGTACAGAATGCCGCTCCGGCGCTTGCGCCTGCGCCGGGTGCGGGCCGCGTATTGAGCGCATGCGCTCAGGGCCCGGCGCTTTGTGGTTTGGGCTCCGGGAGGAACTCCGTCTGCGGCTTCTTGGTTCCCAGTCTGTGTCCCGGCGACCGCGCTTGAATGCGTGTGCCTCGCGGTTTCGCTCTGGCCGGCGCGGAGGCTGTGAGCTGAAGATGCCCACAGCGTCTGCGCCGGAAGTAGTTTTTGAAAGTATTTCCTTTTCACCTCCCAGGTTAAAGTGTCAGGCAGTGAGAGTCCCGGGGCCCAGTTCCGGCTCCAGCTCTTCGCGTGGTCGCGGCACTTGGCACTGCCGATCCCTCGGCAACCTCCTCGCCCCGGCTGCCCCTCCGTTCTCGGCAGAGCCCCCCTTCTCTCCCGACCCCCGGAAGTCCCTCCATCCCCCAGCAGAGCCCCGCCCCTCTCCCGACCCCGGGACAGCTCCTCTGCCCCCGGTACTCCCTCGGTCCCTGGCAGCCCCGCACCCCATGGACGCGGAGCCTCGCCCGGATGGACAGGGAGACGCGCATGTTCGCAGAGAGCCACTTCCGAGGCCAACGGGGACGTCTCCCCAGCAGGGCCTTCTCGACCCCGGACCATGTAGACTTTATCGAGAAGCCAGACTCCTTTTCCTACACCGACTTCTTCAAGGGTTACCTGCTCCCCAATGTACCCTGTGTTTTCTCCAGCGCCTTCACCGAGGGTTGGGGAAGCAGGAGGCACTGGGTGACACCCAGCGGGAAGCCCGACTTTGATTATCTTCTTCAGAATTATGGTAAGGACTGAGCGCCAGGACTCGAGCAAGGACACTAGCGAGCGCGAGCACAGGACTTAGGCAGGCTCCTCTGACTGTCGTCTTGCTAAATTCCCTTAGGTCAGACTACAGAGGGCATAAATGAGAGGAGCCACTGAGGGTTTGGGGGAGGCTGGGCGTGAATGGGTCCACAGAATTCGTGTGGAGATGGTGTAGCAATGAATTGGAGGGTGGTCAGGGTCAGAGAGGATGGGCAAGCTGGAGGACTTCCAGAAAACTCTGTGCCTGATCCCTCCGTTTCAGGAGATGTGGTTGTACCTGTTGCAAACTGCGGGGTCCAGGAATACAACTCGAACCCTAAAGAACACATGCCTCTCAGAGACTACATCAGTTACTGGAAAGAGTTCATCCAGCAGGACTACTCCTCTCCCCGGGGCTGTCTCTACCTCAAAGACTGGCACCTGTGCAGGTAAAGGCGTGGGCACTGGTGTGGCACTGCTTTGTCCAGACCTGAGTGAGCCCTGACTGCACGTAGAGGATCTCGTCTTTACCCACTCAGGAATTCTAATCCATATCAAAACTCTGGCTGTTTGCTGCAGTGTGGGCATTCTCATGGCTCCTGCACGAGGTTGGCTGCTGTGGGGAACATGGGCCTGGTGGAGGTACAGATGGGCTGTAGTTACCACGTCTTTGTCACATGTGCCCAGAGCAGAAGCATCCACTCCCATCCAACTGGCAGCACTTGGCCTTCGCCCCACCTCTCAAATGCCCCTGTGACCAGTCTCCCTTCCCAACCCTACTTCTCCAGGTCCAGCCTGTTCTGCTGCCAGTCTCCTGGCTAGCTGCTAAAGTCCAAATGCCCTTTTCAGCAGGCCTGTGTCCCACCTGCCTAAAATCTCCATCACTGCTGAGCAACACCAATCCTTTAAGGAGAACTTTCTCGGTCTGTCCCTACCTGCTGCACACCCCTACCTGGGGAGCTCAAACAGTGCTACTCTGGAAACATCTCACTCTCACTGTCGTGCCCACCCTCAGAGGTGGTTCTCAGATTTTGTGTCCGTTTCCCCCACCTGGGGCATGCCTTTTACCAGCAGAGACCATTCTAGTCCAACTCCCACCAGCTGGCACATAGGTGCTCACTTAATGTTGGATAAATGAGTGAACAATGGAATTCTTGTTTTGCTGATGTGGAAACTAAGGCTTAGAAAGGTAAAGTGAGACTAGAACTCAGGCTCATGTGATTCCATGGACAATGCTAGAGTGCACGAGCCACACCAGCACCAGCACCCCCACTCCCCACAGCACCCACAGCATGTCCTTGGTGCTTCCATCACAACCCTTCGTACTCAGCACAGAGCTGGCTATGTAGCCAGTGGATCAGGAGTGGCCAGACACTGGTCACAGGCCCCGATGCTCATGCACTGTGGATTTGGGCTTCAGATAAGCAACGAGTGGGTTTTTTGGTGTAAGTATATCCCAAGTATTGATTGCATGGGACATACTTGTGCTACAAACTTGTTCATTGTTTATTTCAAATTTGGTTTTGACTGAGTGTCCTGTATTTCCCCAGCAACTCTAAAATGAGAAGAGAAGAGCAAGCCTTGGTCAGGCAGGCAGTGGTTGCCACAGGGAGGTGCCGTCTGAGCAGGGTTGGATGAGTAAGCAGGAGGCCGAGCGCACAAAGACATGGCATTTAGGGAAGTACAAGTGGTTGGGTGCTGCTGGGCTCCCCACTGTCATGGCCTCTGACCGAGCTTGCCATGTGAGTGAGCCCGGAAACTTGTTCCAACCTGTCATTCTCCCTTGGGCTGGTTTAATATGTTCCTCTGGGAGCCCATGCTTGGGTTGTGGGGCCCCAGGGGGGTTTGAGAGGTTGGGGGTGAAAAGGACCTTGGTCTTCATGACCATCCTTGTGCCTGGGCCTGTGGCTTTGCATCCACCAGACAGAGTCGAGGTCACTGGTGTGGGTGAAAACGCCAAAGTGGCCCACAGTTTCAGAAAACCAGTGTGATTGAGATGATGCTTTTAGAACCCAACTCAGACAGAGTCTGAAATCCTGGAACTGGTGCCGAGGGGCCCTGTTACGGCACCCCACAGCCATTTCATCTGCTGTGACTGGTTCAGTCATTTGGGCGAGCTCAGCTGGGGTCACTGGGGACTATGGTCATCTGGTGACAGACTAGGGCTAGGTGGTCTGAGGTGGCCTCACTCAGCCTGTCTCTTGGTGCTGTCTCTAGAAGGCAGCTCAGGTACCTCATGTTGGTGACCAAGTTGAACATAGGTGCGTGGCAGTGGCAGCATCCTCATGCCGTGTGCTCTCTGAAGGGACTCCTCTGCTGAGGGTGTGTTCACCCTGCCCGTGTACTTCTCGTCCGACTGGCTCAACGAGTACTGGGACTACCTGGATGTGGACGACTACCGCTTCATCTACATGGGGCCCACTGGCACCTGGTAACCGTGCGTCTGCCCCACCCACCCTCCTGCACCCTGTCCGCGGCCACTCTTCTAACTGTGTCGCCTCTGGGAGAGTCTCCTTGGCCAGGCCATGGAGCTGGCTGCCAGGTCTGGCATTTCCAAGCCCACTTCCTCTTTTTACTCTGTGGCTCGGCCCAGAATCTGAGCACCTCCTGTTGCTATTCTGGGGAGGGGTATCTGGCTCACCCCTGTGGCTCTAAGGCAGGTGCTAGAACTGGGGACCTCAGGCCTGTGCATGGCTAGCCCACTTGCAAGAGCCAAAGCCCATGCCCAGGCCACGAGGCACCAACAGGGGCTCTTGCACAGGTCGCCGTTCCATGCTGACATCTTCCACTCCTTCAGCTGGTCTGTCAACATCTGCGGGAGGAAAAAGTGGCTCTTCTTCCCACCAGGACAAGAAGAAGCTTTGCGGGACTGCCATGGCGGCCTGCCCTATGACGTGACTGCTCCCACACTCCTTGACAGCTGCCAGCACTGCAGTCGACCGCTGGAGGTCACGCAGGAGGCAGGCGAGATGGTGTTTGTACCCAGCGGGTGGCACCACCAAGTCCACAATCTGGTAGGGTGGGCCCTCTCCACCCCATGTGCCAGCAACGTAGCCCAGGCAGGCAGGGAGACACAACATGGGGCTCCACCAGGCTGGTCCTGACCCCCTTCCGACTGTCCCTCAGCCTGCCTTCGTTCATGCTCCCTACAGAGAGGGCTGTGCCCGCCCCTCCTCACTGAACAATGGGCAGGTCGCCCCTTTGGGAGAGCCTGGGTGTGGGACAAGACAAGCCATGGTGGGCCTGGTGCTGTGTGTTGGCTCCCGCACACAGCACTGCCAAGGACCTCCAGCCCCCATTCCCTCCCTCCCACAATAGCTTTCCTGGTCCTCAAAGAATGGGGTTGTCCTGGGCCCTCGGGGAGCCCGCTCTGGGTTAGCTACGGACTCAGGATCTCAGCCCTGGCTCCCTCTCCCCTCCTGGCATCCACGGGGAGGTGGGAGCAGCCCTTCCAAACGAAGGAGGGCTGGAAGGACCTCAGGACGTGGGAGGGGACAGTGCCTGCTGTGGGCTTGTGGGGACAGCCTACCACTTGCCCCTTCCAGGAGGATACTATTTCCATCAACCACAACTGGGTCAACAGCTGTAATCTGGCCAACATGTGGCATTTCCTGCAACAGGAGCTCCGAGCCGTGCAGCAGGAGGTCAGCGAGTGGAAGGACACAATGCCTGACTGGCACCACCACTGCCAGGTGGGCTGTCCACCAGGATAGGAGAGGGCCACGGGGGTGGGGAGCTCACCAGGGACAGGGTTGCAGTGGGGGGAGGAGATGGGGTGGTCACCAGGCCTGCCTGTGAGGGTCAGTCTGGGGCTGAGGCAGATCACGGGCTTCCAGGTTGCAGGGCTGAGACCCATCCATCATTGACTGGCCCCTGGGTGTCGGTCTCCGTGCTCAAGGACTGGGCCATGGCTTGGGGTTCTTTGCAGCTGGGACTCTGTCCACAGTCAGCAGAAACTTGCCTGGAGCTGCTAGTGAGCAGTGACTCACTGGCCGCTCCTTTCTGGCCTAGGTCATCATGAAGTCCTGCTCCGGGATCAATTTAAAAGAATTTTACCATTTCCTCAAGGTCATTGCTGAAAGGAGGCTCCTCCTCCTAGAGAAGGAGACAGGTCCTGGTGAGGGGGAGGACATTGAGGGTGCTGGACTGGGCCCCCAGCAGGCCACTTTTGACATCGGCCGGATTGCTGAGGTGCTGGCGTCCGTGGTGGCCCACCCCGACTTCCAGAGACTAGACACCAGTGTGTTCTCACCCCAGCCAAAGGACCTCCTGCAGCAGCTAGAGGAGGTTGTGGCTGCCACCGCATCTCTTTAATGCCTGTCATGAGGATTGGTGACACATCCTGGTGTGGAAGGCATTCATGCTGCTCCAGGGTCCCTTCCAGAAATAAAGCTCCATCCTCCTGCGTGGCCTGAACACGTCACCTTCCTGCTGAACCTGTTGTCTTGGCCTCCCAGGTTCGGTTTCTGCACTTAAGGGTATGGTACCGTCCTGTTGGCATCCCAGGACCTCAGTACCTATCCAGAGAGTCCAGGATCCTTGTCCTTGTGAGGCCCAGCAGGACTGGGGACTTGGATCCAGTGAGGGATGGGTGGGGAGTTGTTGGTAACTCAGACCTGTGGCAAGGAGGCTGGGAGTATGCTGGCAACTCAGGAGTGGGGGTGGCACGTGGCTGGGCTTTCCTGGTGCCCCCCGGCCTTCCCTCAACAGACCAGCACCAAGGCAATGGGCTCCCCATGCATGGCAGCACAGGGCAGTTGCTTGTCTTGCTGGCCCCTCTGTAGTAGCACCACACCCTTGCCAAGTCCATACGTCTGTCACTGGAGCAGACTGTAGGGTAGAAACACTGGTGCCCAAGGCAGCCCCAATTTGCAGGGCCTGTGTCTATCCTATGCTAGAGCCCTCCTTTCTTCCACTTGCCTGCGGCCCCCTAGCAAGGTTCTGAGCCAGAGATGTCATTAGTCAGTGCCCCAGGCACTGCAGGCACTGCACTCGGGACTCTTGGGTCCTGCTGGCCGTTAGTGGCAAGGCAGAGAAAGCCCTGGGGCACAATGCTTGCCGCAGCATTGCCTTTCCCCGAGACTCCAGGACCACCCCTGCAACTCCCAGCAGTGAGGGCCCTGCCCAGGGTCCAACCCAGGCCAGCTGGAGCCTTGGCCTCATCCACACCTCACACACCCATTCTGCACCACCCACCTTGCACTGGTTGCAGACCTACTGTTTGCCATCCAGGGTCACTTTGCAAACTGATTTAACGACCACTGCACACCATTCTCCCACCTGACTCCCAAACCTTGCACATCTCTGCCAAGCAAACAGTACACACTTGTATATTTTAACCTGCATGCATATTTGTACCATCCATTCTCCACATCTATGTGTCACTCAGTCACGGTATTGTTCTCCATGGAACCACCTGACGTGTGGAGAGGTGATGGGGCTGCTGAGTGTGAAGTCTGCAGGGCAAGCTGGAGACCCAGGGAAGAGGTCTTGCGGTCTTGGGTCAGAAGGCTGGACAGGGTTTCTCTGTCACAGTCAGGAGGTGGAATGGCTTCATAAACCATGGTCCTTGCTGTTAAGGCCTCAGCTGACTGCAGGAGGCCTGCCCACATTATGGAGGGTTATCTGCTTTCCTCATTGGATTGGTTTAAATGTTAATCTCATGTAAGAAACACCTTCACTGCAACATCTACACTGGCGTTTGGGCAAATGGCACTGGCCTGGCCGCTTGGGCACATAAACAACCAAAGAAACCACTCCACGCTTGTCCACTGGAACTCAGCAGCTACTGCCCTCCAGTGCCCACTTCGTATATCCCTACTTGGACACTTGGCAGCATCTTGCAAGTTGTGGACAATCCAGTGACTGCACTTGGGGCACTCCCCTGCCCCACCCAGCGTCCACACCTGTCCCCTCGTTTTGCTCTTTGTCCCTCTGCACACTCCCATGAGTGTTTTAGAACCACTGGTTTGGCACACTGACTAAACCTACTCTGCACACTCCCCGGGTTACTCAATGACCACCCTCTGCACACATCCTGTACCAACCAACTTCTATTTGCACACCTACTGCCATTTAATCACTCCTTGCACAGTTACTGTGTGTAATCCAAAAGCCAATGCCTCATTCTTCACTCACCCTCACACTTTGCACACCCGTTGTTTGTCATTCACAGTCACCTTTTACACACCACGCGCAATTTAACAACCAATCTGCATCTTGCTCCATCCAGTGCGCACTCCAGCACATCCTTCTCAGCATTTCAGGACTTAGTGTCAGATGCGTTTCTCACACCCTGGTATGCTGCTCAGAGTCTCGTTGCGCACACCCTGTGTAAGAGCCACTCTGAACACAGTGGGCAGGTTACCAGCCTCTTGCCACCATTCTCCTTCCAGCTCCCCATTCTGCATAGCCACTGTGTGCCATTTGACGTGCTTGCACACTCAGTGCAAATCAACAAGCACTACACACCTGTGTCAATTCCATCTTGTGCATTAACTCTGCACCATCTGAGTTCCACTAAGTTATCAATCTTCACCCCTTTTCAATCACTGTGTTTCAACAACCACTTGCTCCATTTTGCTCTATCCCACGTCCGCTTGCACACCCTCTCACATTCAACAGTGTCTCCTTGCACAGTCACTCTGGGCTCAGCAGAGGTGACACTTGTAGCCATCAGGAGGAGGCGATAACTGGCTCACACGTCACCAGGTTCCTGCATTTACAGGCTGTATATTCTGGAGCTGTTGAAATAAGTGGCAGGAGGCTGTATCCCAGAGGCTCCCTGCTGAGTCTGCTGTTAGCCCTTGAGCCCTGATCCTGGGGGAAGCCCCAGAGACCACTCAGGTGAGCTCAGGACAGCATGTGTTTCCCTCTGGAGTTGGAAGCACTGAGGTATTTAACTGGTAATACTGTGTCCCTGCCGCCCTTGGACAATGGCCCTGCAGGCACGCTCCTTTCCTGCCTGCTAGGCTACTTCTCTCAGCCCTCCCCACAGGAAAGGTTCACACCCCATGACATCCAAAGCACATTCATCAGGGCAGGTAAGGGGGTGGACACAGTGTACCTGATTGGGGGGGGGGGGTAGGAGGCTCTCCCAGGAGGATTCAAGTCTCGTCTCAGGGCCCTTGATGGGAACTTAGGATGGGAAGTCCTGCCTGCTCTCAGTTCCTTTGCTAATAATCTTCCTCTGGCCTTTTCCTTTCCTCATTGTATGTTTTAATCTTTTCTACAATTTTCCCCACCTAGTGTTAATGGAATTCCAGGGTTTGACCTTGAAAATCACAGTTCCCTAATTGGTGGTCAAAAGATACCTCAGTAAGAGAAGCAGAAAGTGTTCCCTCTTCTTCCAGAGTGTAGCAAGGCCACCATTGTCCTGGGGCAGGAAGTGGCCCTGACAAGTGCCATTTTGAAAGACACCCAGTTTCAATGGTGGTTGCTCTGCCCTCAAGTTCTAAGTCTCAGGGGTTCTGAAAGGCTGTGTCTGCTCCTGGCTTAGGTTCACAACACTGGAGTGAACCTGTCCTCTAAGGAAGAGGGACTTGGGGGTGTCCTTCAGTAGCCAGGGAGGGGGACTAGTCCTTCTCCCTCTCCAACCTGAAATAAGCTGATGACCGTGCAAAATTTTTTACTGAATGAGGAATGAGTATCTGATTTAAATTAACACAGGAAATGAAAGAGCAAAACCATAGTTCCCAGGCTGTAGTAAAAACAGGACATTTATATTCAAGTGTAGCTTCGGCTATTGACAACAAACATTTAACAATCAGTAAAAATCTTTTTAACCTTTTACACAAAAATTCAATCACATTCTTACCTCCTCCAAAATCTCCCACTGACCCCATCGCCTGTGGCGTCACAAAGGCCTGCTGCCTAGCACTTGTAGGGGCACAAGAGAGCATCAGTGGGACTCAGCTGCCCTCTCACCTGTTGAAGAGCCAGGTGTGATGGGTGGGTCTCACCAGGGGAGGGGTGGGAGGCAGGCAACACGTGATGATGGGATCTCTGAGATTTCATCTGCCCAACAAAGGCTAGAGTGATAGGAGGCAGAGCAGGGCCCCTGGGAAGGTCACAGGCAAATGCTGTAGACATGAGGAGAGAACTGCAGTCGTCAGGTCAAGCGGGAGAGTGGGTGCTCTGGCTGCCTGTGGGCACAGATGACAGTGACCCATACCTGCAAAGGGATGATGGAAATGTAGAGGGCAGTGCTCCTTAGCTAAAGTCAGCTAGTCCTCTGGTTCCCAGAGAACAGGAGGCATCTAAGGCAGCGGGTGGACCATGGGAGTCCAGCTCAGCCGGTCAACAGTCAGGCATCATGCACAGCCAGAACAGAGGTCCAGTGGGAAGATCTCTGGGCTGACAGGTTGGGAGGGAGGTGCCGGCTGCCTAGGCCCACTTCTGTCTGTAAGTGTTTAGCTACCGGGCCTGCAGAGGGTGGTCCTGAGGCTGGCTATTGCCAGGAATCAGAAGATGCTCTTTGTGAACTAGAAAAATAACAAAGTAAACCTAAAAAACAACCATTAGAGCTGAGGTGAATGTATTAGAGGACAAAAGAAAAAATAGAAAAAATCAAAGCATAAGTTGTTTGTCTGAAAAAGTTTAAGCAGTACTGAAGCTGGAACTGGATCTCATTCTACCTTGAGCTGATGCAGGAGCTGGTGCTGGACTGCCTCTAGGTCCTGAGTGAGTGCTAAATAGGCTCTAGCCGTGGATCTGGTGCTGGAGCTCTGGAATTGCTGTGAGAGCTGGTGCTAATGACAGTGCTGAAGCCAGCATGGGAGTTAGTTAGAGCTGCATCTATCTGTGGGGTTGGTTGTAGAGCTGGTGCTGGAATTGACGCTGGTGCAGATGCCAGAGCTGATACTGAGGCTGGTTCTAGTTCAGGATCTGGCACTGTCTCGAGCTCTTTAGCTCATGCCAGAGCTGCCTCTAGCTCTGGAGCTGATGCAGAAGCTGATACTGGTGTAGACTCTAGCTCTAGAGCTAGTGTTAGAGTTGGTGCTGGAGCTGACTCTAGCTCAAAACATGATGTTAGTTCTCGCTTTGAAATTAGTTTTGGAAATGATTCTAGATCTCGAGCTGATGCTAGAGCTATTGCTGGAGCTGGCTTAGGAGTTGGTGTCAGAGCTGATGAAGGAGAGCTGATGCAAAAGCTGGTGTTCAAGTTGGTGCTAGCTCAATACATGGTGCTTGCTTTAGCTCTGGCAAAATTGGTGGAGCTGGCTTTAGCTCCAGGGATAGTGCTAGAGATGGTTCTGAAGATGGCTTCAAACCTGGCGTTGGGCTTGGTACTGGTGTTGGTTTTGGCTCTTTTTATGGAGCTGGCATTAGCATTAGAGCTGGTTTTAGCTTTAGAATTTGTACTGAAGCTGGGCTAGAGCTCATGCTAGCACAGAACTGGTGCTA